TCCTTCAAGCGCTAATTATGATTGAAGGCTAGCAGGAGAGCTAGTGTGGTGCAGTTTTGGATCACGCTTGGTGGCTAGCTTCTAGCCTTCATTCATGTTGGCCACTAAGCCGTTTTAAGTGAAGTATTGCTTCAGTAAAGGTAAAAATAGTTCTTTTTAGGGTTATTTTTATCCTGCTTGAGACTGAAGACACGATACTTTGAGTGACTGCATGTAAGAATGTTTGAACACCAGGGCACAGTGGCTCTTTCTTCTGACCTCACCCATTTCTGCTGCTCTGTTCAACGTAATGTCACATCTTTAAGCAATCAGCCTGTAATTCTTACAGAATCACGGGCGTGTTTTAATTTGGGCCAGTGCTAAGCTATTAATAGCTCTGTTTCCTGCCTACATGTTGTCTTAGCATCTGAATAGCTGCCACGCTACTTTAGAGAAATCAATGATATTGAGGCAGCGCATTTACACGTCAATAACTGCCTCAGGAGCCAACAGAGTGCACGAACTAATCACACTGAGGTGTTCAGACATGTTAGACAATTACACCTTGTTCACCAGAAACCACAGTTAAACAGCAGTAATCGACATCAAACAATGACTGTATATGTTAGTGAAAGTTTTTATCACTAACCACAGGGTTCCTCCATTAGCTTGAACAGCTAAATATGTGGCAGGACAAGGAAACCAATGTAAATAAATGTAAAGTAATTACATAGTTACTTCGTGAGTGAAGTGAATTGTGTTTACGTTCTATTTAAATTGTATAAAGTTCAAATCTACACTTCTTTAATTTGTTCTGATAACTTTTTCTGTTTGTTGAGATGTAAAAAAATGACAAAAACAAGGCAAGAATGTCAGGTACGCACCTCATGGACCCGGCTTGTAACTCATTCACTCACTCACTCATGTTTAGCAGGTTAAAGATTCTTCAAAGAGGGACGCTGTTACCACTCAAATAGCTTTTGGAGCTTCGTAACAGTAGTGTTTGTGTCCTTGTTCTTAACATAAAAACATGGAATATCATGTTTCTTGTCAACTGTTGACCATTGTAAAGTATACACAGCATAACAGTTCTGTATCTACAGGTTTGAGTCTGTACTTTAGAACGTTTTGCATTTGTTTCAACATGAAAAGTCACAGAAACATGGCCAAACATTATGGTCATGACTTTTATTTATGCAAAACAAGACACAACAATAACTTTACATCAAATTTAAATCATAAAAAAATAGTTTTCAACCTACAAAGACAGATGTAACTAACTGAACGTTCAGAATTTGCACTTTCCACATACTTATTTCAGTGAGCTATTAGTGAGTAATAACTGAACACAATGTAGACATGTTCCAAGGCGGATAAGCCTTGCGGGACCTAGAAGTAGCCAAAAACAAGGCTAATGAAGACCTTACTGGAAGTGCAGTGTACACTACTAAGCTACCTCTATTACCCTCTTTCTCCCCTCATTCCCTCTAACTCCCTTAATCCTCAGCCCATTTCTCCACACCTGTTCAGAATTCTTTCCCGTAACTTTCCCAAACAATGGCTGCGTTTCCCAACCCCTCTGACATCTGGAAAATGTTGCAATCCGCCGTTTGGCCTGATTTACGGCAGAGGGCTGCAGAGGGGCTTCGGGGATGGTGTTCAAATTCAAAGGTAAACAGGCTTTTTAAACCAAGGGGGTAAGTGTCCTGCCTTTCATATCAGGCTGCAGTTTCTCCTTCTCATATTGTGGCAACTCTTTGGTTGTAAGGTGACTTCAAGTGGCATTTTAAAGTGATAGTTTAGCAAAAAATCTTTAGATGTGTTCACTCTTTGCTTTTTTACCTCCGGCATGGACAAAACCAAATTTGGCCGCCGCTGCTGTTCTTATCTATGTGACGTAGACAAGTTTGAACATTTACATATTTTGTTGATTTTCTACATGACAAAAAGTTAACACACTTTCTACAGGGGACAAACTTTAATATGTAATTTTTCTACAAATCTTAGGGTGCAATTTCTCTTTATTTGCTGAGTTTAACATATCAGAAAAAAAATAAAACATAAAATAAAAAACATGCCTTAACTTTGCACAGACCACATCTCCATCTTCATTTCCCCAAATATGTCAAATTAAGCAATTAATGTGCAGAAGTGTGTTTACAGAAGATCAAAAGAACATTGGATCATTTGACTGGGGGTGCCCAAACGTTTGCATACAACTGTCCATTTTCATACCAAAGCAGAAACCACATAAGCAAGTCTGTTTGAGATTAGTTGAAGTCATTTAGCCATACAGTTCATGCATACAGCATAATGCTAATTGGTGAACATAAATTTTTATGACTTGTTAGCTACATTAGCCTTGTGGCTCCAGTTCAAACTAAAGAGTCTTCAGACATTGACCATGTCTTGGCCGATCACGTACGCTAAAGGAGGAGACTGAATTTTTCGCTGACCTATCGCTTTAAACTTTGCCAGCAAGTGTCTCGTCCTTGGCGCGAAGCCGGGAAGTGGTGACATTTCCGCAGTCGTTACTGCTTACTAGGTCACTCGGTTCTTTTCCGGCCCTACAGGCTCAGTATTGTCTTTTTTCGCGCAGGGCAGGATGCACTAAAATAGCACTTTGATGTGTCATGTTTTGAATTATGCTGCAGTTTGATGTTGGCACCTCCTCACACAGGCCTCCAGTCTGGAGTAATTCCACTGAAGAATGCCTTAAAGTTTAGAAAAGTCTTTGAGCTTCTGGCTCTCCACGTGCTCCTCAGCTTATGGTTCATCTCATATGAGTCAGACTGAGCTCATACTTTGGCCTGACATGATCCAAATATGACAGACTGTCAACAGCATTGAGAGTGTATATAATGTCATATAACCTCTGTGCCTTTATTATAGATGCAGTTATGGTTGGCAGCTTTTGAGGCAGTAGAGGAAAGATATACATATTTTTTGTGGTTTGGTTTTCTGGTAATTAAATCTCTTTTTATATCTTTTGTTTTCTTCATAAAAATGTTTTCATTTGTGTGTTATAACCTGTTATATTCATGCCAAAGATTTGTATTCATTTGGCATCTTTTTGTTATTTTAACCATCAGGTCAGTCTGTATTGTTGTCCCATAGTGACTCATATTAGGCTATTCAGTGGCACAACTGTCGAGAGATTGTGAGTCTGATTCCTGGCAATGCCACAGTCAAAAATAGATACTAATTACTGGTGCATTACCTGTGATATTTTTCTCAAAGCAGACAAAACTGCAAGTTGTTCCATTTAAAACAAAAATTAATCCGCTTTGAGAGCCACAAGATATTACGTCCATTTATTTAAGTTACGTTTTACTATCTTGGCTATAAATATGTATCAGTATGTGCTAATGTACTAGTTAATCTAGGCTAAAAAAAATATAACTTCTAACTTTGCTTTGCTTTAAGCTTTAGCTCAGCTATAGCTGCTTTTCTCACGAATGCGTCTGAGGCGTCGGAATGTAACTGCTGCACCATTTAAGGTGGAAGGGGCAATTTCGAACGAAAAGCTGGCAAATAAAAACTGACTTCAGCTTCGCAACTTTTTAGTGTTCTTCAGTTTCTGGATGCAGATTAAATGTATCAGTAACCCAGCTGGAGTGATTATAAATGTAAATAGGTCCATCGTCTCCAAATCATCAATGTTTGTCTTAAATCTCTCTTTGCCTTTCCATTAGGTACTAGCTAGGCGACTGCAATGTGTTGCTATGGTGACCGGTAGTCTGTCTACCAATCTTCAGGGTTAAAGGGTGAATTAGCAGTTCTACATTAACTCCAGAGTTTAAGACCATTTATTGTTAAACTGTGTTGAACGATCAGCAGAGCTTTATTTTACTGTAAAGGAGGATTATTTTATTTTTACCTACAAATCTAATTCTGCTGTGGAGCTGCAACAGGGCAGTAAAAGAGCCGCATGTTGCCGACCCCTGGTATAGGCCAATATTATCGGCTGACCATTATATCGGTCAGGCCCTAAACAGCACCATAGTCCGGGTTTAAGCAATTTTTCTGAATGAGAAAGAAAAAGCACCAGCAACTAAAGCTGCCAAAGCAACTGAACTACTATGTTCGACAGTGCTTGCTGGTTCATGTGGGCCATTTGGTGCTTTCTCTCCGTGCTTCATAGTGGTAAGTGACTGATGGCAGCATTCAGCCACAAAACTGAGGTGCCATGGCGACAGTGTTTTTGGTGTAAATGGATGGTTATCAGAATAAGAGCTCATGCATTGACTATTGCTGACGTAAAGTGGGAAACATCAGAAGAATTCTCTGGACTCTTAATGTTTTGCTTTATAATACTTGGTGCACCTGGATTTCAATAAGGAACGTTAAGCATTTTATGGCTCCCGAAAAATCTACATCCGGTATTGCTGCTGGCAGTGGAAACTTTTTGGAATATCTGGTTTGCCTTCTACCCTCATAATGTATTTGCATCATAACGTTCAATTTACATTTGTATGGACAGGTTCTGACAGTTTCTACTTCTATTGAGGTCAAACTTTTCATGAAATTAAAATCATAATAAAGTATCTCCTGTTCTACTTACAAACACATTCATTGAAAGTTGCAAATTGGCACTTTCCACAGAAATTACCCCTTTTTAGGTAAATGATAAGTAATTTATCCAAAACTATGATATGCTTTTGTTATTACCTGCAACCTTTATGGATTTAAAGCTCTGTGGTCACCGCAAGTGACCGAAAGAAAACGTTCCAGGGCGTATATGCCATAGGGGACCTGGGAGGGTTAAATAAGTTGAATGATGAATGGAAATAATACACAAAACATTCTGAATGTGTGTGCGTGAGGTCGAGGTTTGGTACGTGTCTGATTCAGTGAGGTCAGATCAGTCCACGTCCTGTAATAGCTTCACTCTCAGGCGCAGTCCTGAGGCATCAGGGATGTCCGTCCATGCCACATATGCTCCCTCGCTCAGGGACACGCAGTCCCCCTGGAGAAATGCTTCAGAAACCTAACCTGACTCTCTCCTTCTGTTTTCACAGAGTTCCAGCCCAGTGTGGAGAGGAAACGAGACAAAACCTCCATCAATCAAGGTGTCCTGGAGTCGGACAGGTCACTCCAAGCCGGGCTCCAAAGAACCAGATACAGCTATCAGAAAACAAACAGCCAGACACTTTGTGTTTCTAAGCCAGGATGACCTTCTCAGAGAGGAGGAAGTTCTTTCAGAGTTAGAAGAGATTGTGGAAGGGGGGAAGAAAGGCATATTCAGAGTTAACTGGAACTTTCTATTTCTGCTGCTCTGCGGCGTGGGGAACATCTCATTTGGGACGGCTTTTTGGAAGGAAGCAAAAGGATTTCCCCGTGCCCTGCCCATTTATTCCAGTGGCTGTATAAATACTGCATGGAGATATCAATTTATTCTCCTTCCAGAAGTGTCCAAATTGCAGAGTAAGACTGTACGACATGGATGCTGGTCATACTTACTCTCTCAGTTAGATGTAGGTCACGTATTTGTGTCAAACCAAAGCTGGTCTTTGCTAAAAACTGACAGATAGGGTAACCTAGTAGTCCTATATACCTTAATTCATAGTAGTAACTGGATTATAAGCCTTAAGCTCAGCATTAAATTCCTGCTTAGGACGTCCTGTTTAGCTGTGGAACAAGACTGACTCCCATTTGGATGCCTTTTCCCACTGGGACTGTCCACGATGAAGCCACTAACGCCCATTGGGTCGCCCTCGCCCCTGCGGCTCCTCAACAAGGGTCCGGACTACCTACGGCGACAGATGGACAGCGGGAGTCGGGGTGGTCACTCCATCAGCGCTGTGGAGCGTCTGGAGGCTGACAAGGCCAAATACGTGAAGAGCCAGCAGGTGATCAACACCAAGCAGGAGCCCGCACTGGTGCCCTGTGGAACACCACCACCGCCGCCCCGCCGTAACTTCACCACACCGGTGACCTCCACTCCCGTCCTGCCACGGCGGCCTCTGGTCAGCGCAATGCCTGCTCTACCCAGGTTTGAGTCTTTACTTTTACCTTTTTCCTGTTAGAAATGACAAAAGCTGGGTGAAATTGGATGTTTTTTCCCTTTTACAAAACCATAAGACGGTAAAAATGTCAATTTTCAGGGCAAAAAATTCAAAACATAATAAAATATCCTTGATCTCCACAAATATGGAATGAGTTGAACGTTTAGAGTCTGCACATTCCACACAATTTCTGTGCTTGTTTTTATGAATAAGAAAGAATTAATATAAAATTGTAACATACTTTTGATATTGGTTTTTGCAGTATGTGCCTCTTCTAAGTTCTGAGTTAGCACATACATATCGTAAGCAAAACGATTTATTCGATTTTGTCTAGACTAAATAAGTGATCAGTGAGGTCAGTTCAGTCCATGCATGCTGCATTAGCTTCTCTCTGGACTCCAACTCTCAGTCCATTACTGCACACAGAAAGCTACAGGGACATCCATTCATGCCACATATGCTTCCTCCCGCAAGGCCATGCAGTCTCCCCAGAGGATTTGCCCCAAGTACATGCACATGGGCCTTTTGGTGCCCATGACATATGGTAGTCATATTGACAGTATCTAATCACAAAATGTTTAATTACTTCTTTTAAAGTACATTTAAGCTTAACTACAAATTAGTTTATAATAAAAATAAATCATGTACAAGATACTTCTGCTAGGACAAAGTAACATAACCCTATATTGAAGCTAGCATAGTTAGAAACCAGTTACTAAGTTAGCCTAGGTAGCTACATTCGTCTTAATCTACAGTTAACCCCTTAAATGGCCAGGGCCCACCAGCAGGCCCAAAGTTTTATTACCTAAGAATAGCTTAGCCATTTGCATTGTCCCTGTAGTTACTTAATAAGAAGCCTTATTATGTTAGAAGCCTTGGATTTTAAGTTGTTAATAGTGCCGAGTAAAAGCAACATACCAGGGGACGAGCGACGATGGAACGTTTTTCTCTGTGTGATATACAAATGATCAAAGATGTACAGTTATAAATTCTTTTGACTGATAACCAGCTGTCAGTAGTTGGTGGTTAATTGTTAACCGGCAAGCCTAAAATCCAGGAAACAACCCATCAAAATATCTGTTGTAAAAAGAGCCAAGTTTGAAGCCATTGCAAATACCCGATATGTACACATGACAAATTATTTCTGTATTAATACACCAAGATACTCAAAAATGTATGAATGGACATTGGAATGTAGTACTGATAGGTACTAGGGGCCAGGCATAAGCATGTATACGAAGTAAACGGCCTGAAATATACCCTATGCAAGAACCCGCTTTCGCTTAAACTAAGGGGCTATAATATGTTCATGATTATATGACCAAAAGCTAAAAAGTTATGAGAGTAAAATGAAATAACTGGAATATATCGCTGCTGTCGGAAGAAAACCTTGTACTCGTTTTTCAGTTTTTGACATAATTTGAAAATGCCTGTTGTCCTTTATATTGTGTAAATTTCGTGATGAAATACACAGAAAAAAGCCTGGTTCCATTGAGGAGGTTTTTTTTTCCTTTTTCTGTAAAGTTATCATTTTGGAGATACAAGGTTTTCTTCTGACAACAGCGGTATAATAGTATAATTACCGCTCATTGCTAGCCCACGTTAAAATAAACATAAATACCGTGACTGGGGCTGGCTTTGGCTCAGTGTATCTCAGTCACTGTCCACCACGACCTTTTCCATAATTTTGCGCACACCTCTGTGCATCTTGGAGAACATGGACGAAATAGAATAGTCTTATTGTTTTAAATATGGTACGTCATTGTAGTTGTGCTATCTTGACCTCTTTCCTCCGTTTTCAGGGTTCCAGCACCCTCAGTCCGCGATGACAACGAGGACGACTCTAGGAAGGAGAACCTGCGAGACCTGGAGACGCAGAATGGCAACAACTCCATCCGGCTCCCTCCTCTGGCCCCCAGGAGCCCCATCAGGACACCTCTTGTGGCTCCTCACAGTGCACCCGTGCTGCGGAGGAGCACAGGAAAGCGCATGCTACGGCCGGACTCTCTCGTCATCTACAGACAGAAGAAAGAGTGTAAGAGTCCCAGCAATGGTGGAACTGGTGGAAGCGTGACCTCAGAGGTGAAGGGATACAGCTTTGTCCGGCGCCTTTTCCAGGGGTCGATGCGTGAAAAGAGCACAAAAATGACAATCAGCGAGGAAAAGGGTTCATCTCGGGATGGTGACTCGCGCATGTCATGGTCCAATGATCGGGATTTTTCTGACGGTGGGACAGAGACCAGGAGGTCTAGCAGGACAGCAGAATCCAACAATGGCAACAGTGGATTCCTGGAGCCCTTAAATCCAACAATAAATGCCCTACGTGATGTCCCAGACAATGGAAATGGGAATAGTAGAGACCCTTGGCTTCGGGCAAGCCTACGGCGCTCCGAATCGGATCTTCACCTTCGTGTCTCAGTGGCTCTGTCTGAGCAGGAACGCTTCTTTGATTTCTGTGGCCTGGACCGGGACATGGTGGACCATCTAGGGCCTGAGAACTTCCTATCAGGAGGCAGTTCAGCTGACACGCTCTCGCTGGCCCTCCGCAGCATAGGGGGCGGATCTGAGCCCAGCGAGTTCTCCCGCCACTCAGGGGACGGGCTGGTCCAGGAGGAGGTCACCGAGCAGGCGCCCTCGGGTGTGTCCATCATCGAGAGGAACGCCCGAGTGATCAAGTGGCTCTACGGCTGCAAGAACGCAGCGCGGGAAGCACCTAAAGGTCCGAAAGAGTCGACCGTGTAGCCACAAACAAGACGGACCTCTGACTCCTGTTCAAGGACTAAACGCATGACGCAGGGTTGTCATACTTCTGAGAAGCTAATATGCTGTATTTATTTTATTTTGGGAATTTCTGTTTGTGAGAGATTTGTTCAGCAATTACGGGTCCTTAATGTAGTAGTTTGGTCAACAATTAAATTACACGTTTTCCTTCCTTAAAAGGGGCATTCTGGCCTAAAAAGTTGGTTATTTGTTGTCCAGGGCAGCATTCAGTAGTGCTGTATTGTAGCCCTGATAGTCATCAGTGTCACAGCATTTATCATTTTTAGGTTTTCGTTCGTCTCTCACTACAATAAACTGCATACCTTACACAAATACATCATACAACCATTGGGTATCCCTGTGGCGTCAACTAATTCAAAGTGCTAGCCTAGCCACTGATCTGCAGGCTAATACATACAGCCATGCTAGTATTAGTCTAACTCAGTCATTGAACAAAATCGTAAAGGAAGTTGCGTCGGACGGTATCCACCCCAAAAAGTTCTTGCCACCTTCAAGATACATCATCAGATGGGTTTTTTTCTAGTATTTAAACTGGAAAAAGCTCACTTTAGAGACTACTGTGGCACCACTGTAGGAGGACAGTAGACATGTTTACAACAGATGTGATATGGACCATATTTGTTCTTTTGGCCGGAGTGTCCCTTTAACTCTTTTTAACTTAACCAAGACATGTTTGGTGTCTGAAGTTGTTCGATAGTTTTGCACTGGAGCTGAGGCTAATGTAGCTAACATGTAGTAGAAACTCACTACTTAGCATCTGGCAAACTGCTTGCTTCATCACTTAAACGCTTAACTTAAACCGCATTGAGTTGTTAAGTAGTTATAAAAAGCTTATCTTATCTGGTTTCTGACACTGCATGACACATAAAATGGACAAAAGGATTTCAAATAGTTTTCTCTGTTCCTTTGTCCAGTACTTCCTAGCTACGTTAGCCTCGTAGCCCCAGGGCAGAACAAAAGAAGCAAACTTCAGTCACCAAATATGTCTTGGCTGCTCAACTACATTCTGGCTAAGAGGGAAAACTGTGTAAATGTAATATTTTGCAGAACAGTTCTTTAAGGATGATAAATGACAGATATTTTTTCATATTTGTGCAGTGAGCTGTTTTCCCTGTCAAGATAAGGCTGTCATTTAGCATTTCCCCGTCTGTAACCTGGTCATCTCTTTAAATAAGAAATGCACGAATATATTCTAATTTTTTGTTGTTGTCGGAAAACAACAATGCTGTTTGCTCATGTACATCTCAATAGATGAATAACGAATGATGGAAAACTACTAAGCTTTTTTCTTCCTGGATGGTGTGAGTGTGAAGTGAACCGTGTGTACCTCCTTCCCTTCCCCAACTGGCCCAGTTTGCGTGGTGCTGTTTTTTCCCCCCATTAAATGCAGGCGTTGGAACAAACCCCTGCTCGGCAGGCCTGTTAAAGCACTGATGCACTGAACTGGAGAGAGAGACAGAAAGAGATCTTAACCTATGCAAAGTGAGACTTCACTGGTATAGCTTATCATACAACTTATGCCAAAGAAATAGCCATCACTCAATTAAAAACTGGTCAAAAAAAAGTGAAAAGCCTGATTTACAGTGTTTCCCCTTACCCTAAATGTAGTCGTTCAGCTGTGTCGAGTTGTTAAGCAAGCTAAGATTGACTTTCTCATGTAGTTTCAGACACTGTTATCTGACAAAAGTATGCTAAACAGCAGCTAGCATAAATGCGTTGCTAAAAACAGTAGCCAGAGCAATTTTGAAGCCTGAATTGTGTCTATACTTTTGCACATTTGTCCAGAAACCACTTTAGCCAGTCTTTCTGACATTATTCAAGGAGTCTGTGTGGTTTAAGACCAGTGTGGTAATTCAGACATGCATTTAGCACGATGCTAATTGCTGGAAAAGCTTCCTTTACTTAGCTACACTAGCTACATTAGCCGTGTAGCTCCAGTACTAAAGGAAAGAAGCAAATGTAATGTCGTGGCTTGTCTTTGGGGTAAAGGGGAAAACTGTATTTATTTTTATTTTGCTCTTTTTGTGATTCATTCATAGACACTTGATAATGTGAATAATTCCCCATTTTAATTCAGTTTTATTGAGCGCCACATTTCAGACACACCAAACATCACTTTTATTGCCATTTGCTGTACTTCATAGAACTAAAATAATGTTTATAAGCATGGAAAGTTTTTTAAACAAAAAAAATAAAAAAACTTGCTCACAGTGAACAAGTATGCAATCCCATTTTTGGTCACCTAAATGGACAAATCGCTGTTCGTAACAGGCCTGCCTTCTGACCACTCCTACAATACCGTGGACACGTTTGAGTTCCAAAGCTGATTTCTCAAAGTCAGAAACGAGAGAAAGACACAGCCTCCCCTTGACCTGCCGCAGCGTCCATCAGTCACTGATTCCTCTCTTTCACAATGAAGGCCCATCCTGCCGGTCAGAGGGCTGGGGGTATTTTTTTAGAGACGACGCTGAAAAATGAAGCTGAGGCCTGCTGTGGAATCCCGAGGTCACGGGGGTGAGTGTAGAGGGAGCTGGTTAAGGCATGCAGTCGTGCTGGAGACGAGATTCTTTCATAAACATAGACGATTCCCTGCAGCATGACACCCAAATCTCCAAATCTTCAAAAATCTCCAAAAATCCTTCCTGCTAGCGCTCAAGACGTTCCCAAGCATCTCTCTCTCCTGCATGTTTACAGAACAACCGAGTCAGTTCACACATTTGCTACATGGAAGAGATTTAGATTCTATGTCCAAAGACAAATGTGTATAATTCACACAGAAAGTAAATAAAAATAAAAATAAAACTGTTCTTTAATGACGTTTTGTTTGTGTCTTGTTTCTGAATGAATGGGGTATAAAAATGCGCCAGTGCATCATGATGCATCCACCGGAAGTGATTCCGAGACATCAGTTTTGGAATGTTAGAATCAATTATAATCTATCAAAATTCATATTTAATGAAGTATGCTTTTTGTAAACATCATGATGCGTAAGCAGACCACTTGGTTTAACAAACACCTTGCTAACAGGCTAACAGGCTAATCCAGCAATATTCAGAGTTAGGCCTTAAATTTAAAGGCTTACAAAAGGATTAAGTTTAAAAATGTAAAATACAAAGTAAAACATGTTACCTAAATGTCTGTTACCTGTTTCAAATGTAGACATTCAAGCTAGAACTGCTATACAAAAACATTAAAACCAGTCTGGTGAAGCCAAGGTACAGCATCTTTAGCTTGGTGCTAACATAACATTGAAAATCTCATTAAAGCGCTAATAATATTAGCAATAGCGTAAAAAGCATGAAACCGCTTCTTATAAAGTAGAAGTTTCTACATGAAACACTGCTATATGTGAGCGTGTTTGTGATTATGGACGTCTTTTTAGTGTGTTACCTTGCAGTGGTCAATAGCAGTCCAACTTTTTATAGAATATCTCATCAGTACCCAACATTTCTGATGAAAAATAAACATGAGCTATACTGTATGCAGTGGGTCACACAAAGAACAAAAAGCACTCTTACTGAATGATGATGTCATGAATTTTACAGTGCTTCCCCACAGCTGTAAAAACAAACAAAGAAAAAAACGCAGGCCTCTTCTAAACAACTTTCGGCTGAAAAGGGTGAAGCCTTAACTACATAATGTCAGACAGGTTTATGACAGGTGGTTTGAAATTGGTCACGGATGAGTTAAAAGTGTGTGCTTTGGTTGAGTTATAGTGTGTACGTTTCTCGTTTTTCACAGAGACTGAAGTGTCTGTTATTCTTCTGGAAACCATAGCATGTAGCTCACTCAAGCTGGACACTACAGGGTCCATTTAAAGGCACCTAGGAGGAGCCGAGAGGGCTGCATTTTGTCTCGGTAGTTAAATTACACCCCCATTCCTGTCCACCTCCTCTTTTTTCTCTTACCCTCTACTTTGTGTGAGTGAGTAATAAGGGTGGCCAATATGGCAAGAAAGATGATATCATGATACTTCGAGGCATTTTCACAATGTTCGGCTTTTCTAAGCTGGAGCTGACTAAATGCACCAGCACAACAGAAGTGCTACATTTAAAAAGGCTAAGAAAAACAACTGCAAAAACGCTCATGTGGAGGCTAGCATGAGTGCTAATGGTGCTAATGATAGCTTTCGGCTTATGCTAATGTGGCAAATGTTCATTTTTAATTAAATTAAATTAAAATTAACATTTGCTGCATTGGCATAAGCTAGAAGCTATCATTACCACTATTAGCGCTTATGGTAGCCTCCACATGAGCATTTTTGCACAGATTTTCACATTTAACAGAAAGAAAATGTGCTTGATTGTACGTGATTCACAGTGACTGTAGGGGTTTTGTGAATGTGTGCACAGAACAATGTAATATTCCATATCAGTTAATACACTAACAAGCAAACAAAGCATCTAATTAGACAAATCAGATGCTTGAGAGCGGCATAAAATGACCAATAAACAATTTAATTTAATCGTCTTTTTTGTAGTTATTATAGCAGTTGCTGTTGTTTCTCAAGTAGCAGAAAAAATTAACTGTAAATTTTGTTGGTTCCCGTTTGGGTCAGTTCTAAATCCTAGATAGTCAAATAAAATAAAACCACATCAACAAATAATGAAAATATAAAATATAAAATCTAAAGAAAAGCTGAAATATATAATCTCCATAGAACAGCACTGACCAATGAGCCTAAGGTCACCATGCCCAATGCCAAGTGTGGCCTGGAGGGGTATGAAGCCCCCCCAGCATTGGAACAGCAGAGGAGCTGTGTTGTCTGGAGTGATGGAGCTCGATCTAACACCTTTGGGATGAGCTGGAGTGATCCAGAACTGACCGTCCAACATCAGTACCTGACCTCACTAATGCTCCATCAAATCCTCACAGCAATGTTCCAACATCTAGTGTAAAGCCTTCCCAGAAGAGTAGAGGCTGTTACTGCAGAAACAGGGGACAAACTACTCTATTAATACCCTTCATTTCAGAAAAAACGCAGGATTTCTTCAAACGCTTAGATATACTGTATGTATCTAGTCTGCCTATGACTGTAATATATGCGTTTCAGGGGAATGATGTTGCGCAGCACAATGCTAATGAGCAGACATCATTTTCTTCCTTCTTTCTCATCAGCCTGCATTCGCTAAAAGTTAATGTACCAAACTTTTCAGCTGACGGCAGCTTTTTTTTTCCATAATGCCTCAGATGGACGCAGTAAGTGAGCCCGAAGGCATCAATAATGAATCTAATTCTTATTCTCTCCTCAAAGATCCATTAGTCTGGTCTGAAACTTCTCAAACAGAGTTAAAAATATCCCACTGCCAAATGGTTCCAGACGGAGTAAAAATGTGTGCTCAACAACGTCAAAGTAGAAGTTTCACATCACTCTGTGTCTGACCATCTACAGGGATCAGCCTGTCTGGGACATCATGGCCTAAAACTAGCATTTAGTGTTATGTGTTGTGCTATGTAGGATTCTGGGTGGCTGCTGTGTATCCCTCATTTGACAGAATTCACATTTTCATCTCACTACAGTACCCAGCATGCATTGTGCAAATATGTCATGTAACCATAGGGAATCCCCCCAGCCCCCCAACCCACTGTGATACAGAAATGCACTGATTTAGAGGCTAATGAACACAGATGTGATATTCAGCTTCATGGCAGTAGCTCCTGTCTTTGCTCCAAAGCAGCTGTAGTTGGTAACACTTTCTATGAATGTCACCTTTGTAAGCATCTATAAACGCATTCATAACATGTTATAATGCATGCATAAGACATTATAAATATAGCTATAAATATTTATAAAAATGCATTATACATTATAGCCATGTTTATTATGCATTATGAATTGTTAACATAATGCATTATAAGTACTGATCATAACAAATTATAAGAGCTCATAAGTCGTATTTGTCTGCTCTAAGTAAAGTGAAGTGTACTGTACTAAAGCCTCCTCCAGGGTTAAGAGTGAGGCTTCAAGTTGAAGTATTTACTTAAGGATTTACTGAAACACTAGCATACACACATAAAGTCACTTACAGGGCTCAAGTCATGGAATACAAATGTCTGTTTTTTGAAATTTAGAGCTAGCATCAGTGTTTTATCGTTCAATGTGAGAAAGTATGTTCACCACCGTTAGCTGTGTATTTGTCTTTACTTTACGCTCTCCAGCTGGGACTCG